TTTTTTCTTTTTTTGTCTCTAAAAGCTGCTGCTGGCCTTTTAAATGGCCCACTTGCATGCACTTGCTGCATGCATGTGCTGCATGCATTTAGTGCATGCACTTGCTGCATGCATGCACTTGTTGCATGCACTTGCTCCATGCATTTGCTGCATGCAGTTGCTGCATGCATTTGCTGCATGCATTTGTTGCATGCACTTGTTGCATGCATTTGCTGCATGCACTTGTTGCATGCATTTGCTGCATGCATATGCTGCATGCACTTGCTGCATGCGTGTGCTGCATGCATTTAGTGCATGCACTTGCTGCATGCATGCACTTGTTGCATGCACTTGCTGCATGCATTTGCTGCATGCAGTTTGAATGAAATGGATTTGATTTATTGCATTTAATTTGCTGCAGAGACGAAGACAACAGAAATGGATTTGTCTTCTTTCTGCGGGTGCTCATGAAGAAGGCCAAGGCTGCGGTGCAGCAGCTGGAGGAACAAAGCGCCCAAACCCTAAACCCTAAACCCTAAACCCTAAACCCTAAACCCTAGGGCCTCAACCCAGGGGGGGCTTGTCGCTGGCCTTTCCTCCTCACAATCCAGGCAAGGGTGGCGCACCGCGGCGGCAGCAGCAGCTGCAGCAGCTGCTGCTGCAGCAGTAGCAGCTGCAGCTGCGGAATCTGCAGCAGCAGCAGCACAAGCTGCTGCTGCTGCTGCCGCTGCTGCAGATGCAAAGGATTTGTGTCTGCAGCTTTTGTTCATTTTTGTGCCCACATTAATTCAGAGGGAAGCGCAGCAGCAGTTGCCTGTCGGGTTAGGGGCAGCAATGCCAGGTTATGGAGCAGCAGCAGCAGCAGCAGCAGCAGCAGCAGCAGCAGCAGCAGCTGCTGCTGCTGCTGCTGGGCTTTTATTTTGTTATTTTTATCAACAATAGAAATGTTATTAGGAGTGAAATTATATTATTTACTTTTTAGTTTCTTTTTAATATTAGAAATGCCTTTTAATAAAATAATTAAATTTAATTTTTGTTTTTTTATTTGAAGTTTCATTGAAGGGGCCGGGTGTCTATACACCCCATTTCTTTTTAATATTAGAAATGCCTTTTAATAAAATAATTAAATTTAATTTTTGTTTTTTTATTTGAAGTTTCATTGAAGGGGCCGGGTGTCTATACACCCCAAGTGGGGACAACTGGAAGTAGAAGCTGCAGCAGAAACAAAAGCGAAAACAAAAGGAAGCAGCTGCTGCTGCAGCAGCAACAGCTGCTACTGCTGCAGCAGCAACAGCTGCTACCGCTGCAGCAGCTGCAGCAGCGGCTGCTGCAGCAGCTGGTGCTGCAACAGCAACATGTGCTACTTGCTGCAGCAGCGGCTGCTGCAGCAGCAACAGCTGCTACTGCTGCAGCAGCGGCTGCTGCAGCAGCTGCTGCTGCTGTTGCTGCAGCAGCGGCTGCTGCAGCAGCAGCTGCTGCTGCTTCTGCTGCTTCCTCCTCTCTCTCCGTTTGGGTGTAGATATTTAGTGTCCATACACCCGGTTTTTGTTGTGGTTGAATTTCTTCAGAGCTACCAGCAGCAGCAGCAGCAGCAGCAGCAGCAGGCTTGCTGCTGCGGCAGCAACAACAGCTGCCGCAGCAACGGCAGCGCATGCAGCCGCAGCTGCTAGAGCTGCAGCAGCAGCAGCGCATGCAGCCGTAGCTGCTAGGGCTGCAGCAGCAGCAGCGCACGCAGCAGCAGCAGGAAGAGCACTTGCAATGGCTGCTGCTGGCTCAAAAATCAGCAGCAGCACCGCATGCTGCAGCAGCAACAGCAGCTGCTGCTGCTGCAAGCTGCAGCGCGCACTGCCCGCGCTGCTCACTTCGAGCTTCTGCTGCTTCTGCTGCTGCTACTGCTGCTATTGCTGCTGCTGCTGCTGCTGCTGCTGCTGCTGCTGAAGAGCAGCACGGCGTCATCCCTGTTTGCATGCAGCGCTGGCTGTGCAGCTAAAAGTTTTGAACAAATAAATAATTAAAATTAATAATTAAAATAAATAATTAAATAATTAAATTAAATTAAATAATTTCCTTTCACTTTTTGCAGAGCGAAAAGGACTTGTGGAGTTGCTGCTGCGCAGCAACAGGAAGCAGCAGCTTTTCTTGAAAACGCGAGCAGCAGCAGCAGCAATAGCAGCAGCAGCAGCAATAGCAGCAGCAGCAGCAGCAGCAGAAGTTGGAATTTGCTGAAGAATAAATTTGAATTTGGAAAATAAATAAATTGTTTTCAACAGCTGCCCGAATTAGCCCGAAAACGCCCCCCCAGCAGCAGCAGCAGCAGCAGCAGCAGCAGCAGCAGCAGCAGCAGCAGCAGCAGCGGGGGGCGTGTAGGCATGGGATTTTAATGGTTTTTTCGCAGGAACTGGGGAAGGAACTCTGTGGAGAGTCTGGAAAAGAATAAATGGGATTAATTGGGATTAATTGGACTTTTAAATCTCTTTTTATTCTTTTTATTCTTTTTTATCTTCCGTATTTCTGAAACTCCCACTCCGCGTTGTCCAGCGGGCAGACCTGCCGCGTCTTCAGCCACCTGGATATACAGTGGAAGTGGAAGGCGTGGTTGCAGACACCCCAGGCCACAGTGCACTCCTCGTTGCTGCTGCCTCCCTGCAAATTAAATCAATTAATTCAATTAATTTAATTAATTAATTAATTTAATTAATTAATTTATTTATTTATTTATTTATTTATTTATTTTGCTTTGCTTTTGCTGCTTGCTGCGCGCAATTTCGGGCAAGAGCCGCGCCGTTGCGGTCCTGCTGCTGCTGCAGCGCGAACGGCAGCAGCAACACACGGCGACCTGCTGCTGCTGCTGCTGCTGCTCTGCTGCTGCTGCTGCTGCTATGCCTGCTGCTGCTGCTGCTATGCCTGCTGCTGCTGCTATGCCTGCTGCTGCTGCTGCTGCTGTTCTGTCGGCTGCTGCCGGTGCTGCTGCACGCCTCCACGCGCTCACATTCCGCGGCTAGGGTTTAGCTAGGGTTTAGGGTTTAGGGTTTGGGGCTGCTGCGCTGCTGCGTGTCTGCTGCTGCTGCTGGTCTAGGGTTTAGGGTCTACAAACTAGGGTTTTGCGCGCCGCGCGATCCAGAGCTCGCCCCCGAAGCCGCCGCCCCCCAACCCCAGCGTTCAGCACCTAGGAATTAGGGTTTAGGGTTTAGGGTTTAGGGTTTAGGGTTTAGGGTTTGTACCTGGTTGGCCTGGCACTCTATGCACAAGTCCATTATGTGGTTTCTGCAAATTGCACAATTGTCCACCACAATGTCCCAAGCCCAGAGGGCCACAGCACTCCACTTCTTGACTTCGAAGCGCCGCTCGGGCACGCTGCTGCTGCTGCTGCTGCTGCTGCTGCTGCTGCTGCTGCTGCTGCTGCTGCTGCTGCTGGTGGCGGCGGCGCTGCTGCTGCTGGACCCCGAGAGGTCGGAGGGGCCAGCGGCCGCCTCAGGCGCTGCTGCAGCGCCGCTCGGCCCTGCTGACTCCACCTCCATCTGCTGCTGCTGCTGCTGCTGCTGCAACTGCTGCTGCTGCTGCTGCTGCTACCGTTTTCCCCGCTGCTGCCGAGCCTTTAGGCAGCCTAATGCTGCCCCTTCTCTGCAGCACGGGGGACAGCAGCGCGATTTCAGGTGGCGAGGCGCTGCTGCTGTTGCTGCTGCTGCTGCTGCTGCTGCTGCTGCACTGCTGCTGCTGCTGCTGCTGGTGTTGCTGCGCCTGTGCAGCTGAAAAGGTCCGAAGTGTGTCTCTGCTATGTCTTTCCTTCTAGAGTTCAATTCGGCGCAGCACTTTGCGGAAAGACAGCAGCAGCAGCAGCAGCAGCAGCAGCAGCAGCAGAGTCAGCAGCAGCAGCAGCAGCAGGAAGCCACCCGTGTATGTCTGCCTCTGCGTCTGCTGCAACAGATTAACAAAAAAAAGAAAAAACAAAACCAGAAAAAAGAAAAGAATGGTCAAATACAATTATAGAGACACCAATAACAGCAGCAGCAGCAGCAGCTGCTGCTGCTGCTGCTGCTGTTGCTGCTGCTGCTGCTGCTGCTGCTGCTGTACATGCAGCCACCAGAGTTTTGCTGCTGCTGCGTTTCACCGCGAGAAACTCCACAGCAACTCAGCCCTTCTCATAAATTAATTTATTTTTATTTTTATTTATTTATTTAATTATTATTTATTTATTTATTTATTTATTTTCCCTTTTCATTTTCCCATTCTGCCTTCTGCTGCACACGGAAGCTGCTGCTGCTGCTGCTGCTGCTGCTCCTTCTCTTGCTGCTGCACTCATCTCCTGCATAAATATTTAAAAATAAATATAGGCAGCAGCTCTTGAGGCGAGCAGCAGCAGCAGCAGCAGGACTGCTGCCCGCAGCAGCAGCAGCAGCAGCAGGAACAACAGCCGCAGCAGCAGCAGCAGCAGCTGCGTTGGCAACGGCCTCGGCAGCAGCAGCGCGAAACCCATAACAACCTGCAATCGTCCCAGCAGCAGCAGCAACAGCAGCAGCAGCAACAGCAGCAGCAGCAATTGCAGCAGCAGCCGCGACAGCAACAGCAGCAACAAAGGCGGCAGCAACCGCAGCAGCAACAGCAGCAACAGCAGCAGCAGCAGCAGCAGCAGGCGCAACAACCATAGCAGCAGCAGCAGTAGAATCAGCCGCAGCAAGCCCAGCAACAACTACAGCAGCAACAGGAGCAGCAGGAGCAACAGCAGCAGCAGCAGCAACGCAGCAACCACAACACCAACAGCAGCAGCAGCAGCACCCACACGAGCAGCATCATCAGCAGCAACCACATCAGCAGCATCCGAAGCAGCATCAGCAGCAGCAGCAGCAGCAGCGTTAGCCACAACAGCAGCAGCAGCAGCAACACCCGCTGCAGCAACCACAGCAGCAGCAGCAGCAGCAGCAGCAGCAGCAGCAGCAGCAACACCCGCTGCAGCACCACAGCAGCAGCAGCAGCAGCAGCAGCACCCGCTGCAGCACCACAGCAGCAGCAGCAGCAGCAGCAGCAGCAGCAGCAGCAATGGCAGCACGGAACCCGGGCCCGAAGCTGAATCCCGTGCCGCTAGGGTTTCCTTCTTTCAACAACAGAGTCCACCGGGATAAGTTGAGCAGAATTGCTTTTGCTGCGCACGAAGTAAACGCGAGGGTTTACGAAAACGTATACGCTAATTTAGGGTTTAGAGGCCCCGTGCCGATTCTGAACAAGGCGAGCCGCGGCAGGGGTTCTTTGCTTTATTTTCTTTTATTTTTGTTTTATTTTGTTTTATTTTTATTTTATTTTATTTTATTTTTGTTTTATTTTCTTTTTGTTTTCTTTTATTTCATTTAAATGCCGTTTCCCGCCTGCGCGTGAAAGCTGCCGCGAGCGGGGTGTACGTACACCTCAGTTCAAGTCGAGCGGCGGCGGAAAGCGCACCGAAAGAAGCGCCGCAGAAGCGCAAATTCGAAAATAAATAAATAAAATGAAATAAAACACTTTTTTCTTTCTTTTTAATCCAAAAATCAAACAAAAACTCCGCTTTTTGCTGCAGGTCGGAGCCTCCAGAATCCGCCTCCGCTGCATGGTCGGCGGCTACGGCCGCGGCGTCTTCGTCTTCACCCGGCTAGCCAAAATGGGCATGCAGCAGCTAGCCAGAGAAGGCTGGCTAAAGAAATATGGATATAAACCCTATCTCTTTCGATAGCAGCAGCAGCAGCAGCAGCAGCGGCAGCAGCAGCAGCAGCAGCAGCAGCAGCAGCAGCAGAGGCGCTTGCTGCGCTATTTTGGACGTCTTTCTCATCCCCCAGCTAGCCAAAATGGGCATGCAGCAGCTAGCTAGAGAAGGTTGGCTTAGGAAATATGGCTATAAACCTTACCTTTTTCGATAGCAGCAGCAGCAGCAGCAGCAGCAGCAGCAGCAGCAGCGGCAGCAGCAGCAGCGGCAGCAGCAGCAGCAGCGGCGGTTGCTGCGCTATTTTGGGCGTTTTCGCAATAACCCAGCTAGCCAAAATGGGCGTGCAGCAGCTAGCTAGGGAGGGCTGGCTCACCCACGAGAGCAGCAGCAGCAGCAGCGGCAGCAGCAGCAGCAGCAGCAGTTGCTGCTGTCTTCCAGGGGTTTTAAAGCCAACGCAATCAGATAAAGAGAGAGGCAGCAGCAGCAGCAGCAGCTGCTGCTGCTGCTGCGACTAAAGGCTGTTGGGTTGCAGCGGAAGCAGCAACGAGTGCTGCCATTGGAGCTGCTGCAATGCGCCTGCAGCAGCAGCTGTTGCTGCTGCAGCAGCAGCAGCTGGTGCTGCTGCAGCAGCAGCAGCAACAGAAGCGGCAGCAGCAGCGCCACAAGTGGCAGCAAGTCAGCAGTGTTGTCAGGGATGTGCAAATAGGCCGCAGATACACAGATAAGTTCAGCAGCAGCAGCAGCTGCAGCTGCTGCTGCTGCTGCTGCAACAACTGCAGCAAGGGCAGCAGCAGCAGCAGTAGGGTGTGACGCGAGCTGCTGCAACAAAGGCGCATAAACCATATTTGGCCAGACAAACAAAGCAGCAGCAGCAGCAGCAGCAGCAGCAGCAGCAGCAATTGCTGTTGCTGCTGGCTGCTGGGGTCCCTCTCTTGCCAGCGGCAGTGGCAGCAGCAGCAACAGCAGCTGCAGCAGCAGCAACAGCAGCTGCAGCAGCAGCAGCAGCTGCTGCTGCTGCTGCTGCTGCTGCTTGCTTCCTGCTGACCCCGTGTTCGCTCTTTCAAGTTTGCTTCTTTTCAGTTCGCCACCAGCAGATAAACAGTAAAAGTGAATAAGTTAAATAAAAAAATAAATTAAATAAATTAATTTAATTAATTAATTAATTAATTAATTAATTAATTGAATTAGTTAATTAATTAATTAATTAATTAATTAAAAGAGAAACTAATTAACTGCAGTTTGCCTTCGAGTCGAAGGTGACCTGTGGCTGCTGGGGTAGGAAGTAGAGGACTTCAAAAGTGGAATTTTTTGTTCATTTTGATTCATTTTTGGTTCATTTTAATTTAATTTTGATTTATTTTAATTTATTTTAATTTATTTTTAATATATTTGTTGTTTTAAATTGTTTTGTTCGATTTAACTGCCCTTCTTGCTGTTGGTTGGGGGTTGCTGCCTGTTCGCTGGTGGGCAGTGAGGGCGGCCGGGTGTCTCGACAGCAAGAACGGCACAAAAGGAGTCGAAAGGCGTTTAAAAGCGAATCAAATTTATTTAAATTTATTTTATTTGAATTAATTTATTAAATTAAATCAAAATGTCTTTTGTTTGGTCTCTTTTCACCGCAAAAACCCTTCCGCGCACGCAGTCACGCCCAGCCCCCCCGGCGCCTCCCCCCCCGCGTTTCTTCAATTTAGAGCCAAAATTAAATAAATAAATAAATAAATAAATACTAATTAAATTATTTAATAACAAAATAAATGCAAAGGCCAAAGAGGGGCCCCCATGGAGCCTCTGAGACCTTCTAGGGGCCCCCTGGGGCCCCAAAGACAGTGCCCGGGGGCCCCCTCAGGGGCCCC